ATTCATGAGATTAATTTTAAATCTACCTATTAAATATATCAAGTAACTGTATGGCTGTAGAAAAGTCAAATTAATTACAAATTATAGTCCATGTTAACATTCACTTACACTTATATGTATAATCAATTTTAAGATTATATATACCTTTAAAAGCAAGGCTTGGTTATATAAATAACAATTCAGAATTAAAATCATGCATGTGGAGAATGAGAGAATTAACTCATCAAAATACAAATCACATTTTGTCATTTATTTACATTCTATAACTAAAATTATTTTGAGGGAAAACAAAAGTCCTTAAAATGCAAATTTTCCAGGTGAATAGTATAGAAATACTGAGGAACTGTAAATTTGTTATTTCTGCTGATTCAGATAACACTCTTAATATGAAAATATGTGGAGCAAGTTTTGGCTGAGCACCAGCTGAATGTAGTAACCGCAAACTCTTCACCATTGGGCATAACTGAAAATATTGTACATTTTTTACTACAAAAAAGTGTTCTATTACATCTTTTTCTGATTATCACCACCTGCCCTTTTTATTAAAACTTCATAGCATTAAAATCTTCAAACCTATAGTTTTCCAAATAACTGCGTAATATTTCCACATCATTTAAATCATTGCACAAATAAATAGTTTAAAGCCTATTTAAGATTATGAGAGCGCATGTTTTCCACATTGGCTTTTATTTAAATATTTTCTTTCATGTTTCCTGTGTGAACTCTGGAAGTAGGGGGCTGGAAATTATATACTACTCTCTCATTGGTGCCACCCGGCCTTGGAGAGTAGCATGAATGCTGTTCCAGCGAGTTACCATTTTGAAGATGGCCCAGATGTGTGGCAGTGTTATGGTGGGCAGGGAAGTCTCAAAATAACATGCTACAATCTGCCTATGACTCATCAGCGTGTGTGTGTGTGTGTGTGTGTGTGTGTGTGTGTTCCCACGCAATGTTTTTGGCCAAATGGTGCTTAAAAATACTGACAATATTTTACCTCAACTTGAATCTTGTGATTATCAACTGTGGGTTTTCAAGAAAGATGCAAAGAGGCAAATGACTAAAAGCATATAACTAATTGAGGACTGTAGTCCCCAAGGACTAAGAGTAGTTAACTAGCAGTACAAATTGGGGATATTGCTGCATTAACTTAAATAGAACCCTGGGAAATAACCATTTGAAAATATACATATTTGTTGAACTAGTTGGTGTTAAAAAATGGAAAGAGAAGCATTTGATTTTTTGTTCTTTCTGCCATTGTTATGATCTTCCCTATAATGATGAGCTATTATGCTTTTCTGGGATTACTCAAAGATAACGAAAAAGGTATTATCCTCATTTTCCAATCAAGACTGTAGAAAGACATTGGGGTCACAGACATATATAGATAGTAAAGCATTTCAAAGATAGAATGACGGATTCACTTTTATATTTTCTCAATCTCGTACTTTAATGCTGTGATTTTACCAAATTAAGAGAGGTCCTTATTTTCCATGTGTTTAATTGTCATATTCACTCTGTGTCTTCACTCTTTTGAGGAAAGTTATTACCAGAAGCTTGGAGTGGGGTCCTGGCTTTCACAGAATAATTTTGAGGACATTCCTTCCCTATAGGAGGTAAAGAGAAAGCGTCTTGAGGAAGCAGGTTGAAGTTGGGGCTCAAATCTTGTTTTAGAAGATAGGGAAAGTGAGGGGAGGAGATACAGAGTAAAAATGTGGATTCACTTTTCTGAGAGATGCATTGGTACTGCAACAGGAGAGATGCTCCTTTTTCCTCTTTTAAGGGTGGCGATGTGGACTTGCAGCGAGAACAAGGGCCAAATGTGTTTTGTTCACAAAATCCAATACATTTGATTTATTTTTAAAATTTAATAGTCAAATAGATCATGTAATCATATATATCACATTCACGAAGTATAAAAGCACATACAATGAAAACTCTTTGTGTTCTTTGGACCTCCCATCACTTGGTTCCTCTTTCATGAAGCAACAATGTGATAATTCTTTGTATTCCAGAGATATTTTATATTCTCCCAAGCAAATTTATATGTATAAATATTTTTTCTTCTCTTTTACATAAATGGTAGTGTAATATACCCCGTGTTCTGCATCTTGCTTTTTCAATTAATAAATGTAGGTAGAACTCTTTCCTTTTTTTTTTTTTTAGATTTTATTTATTTATTTGGCAGAGAGATAGAGTCAGAGAGCACAAGTGGGGGGAATGGCAGAGGGAGAGGGAGAAGCAGACTCCCCGCTGAGCAGGGAGCCCGATGCGGGGCTTGGTTCTGGGACTCCAGGATCATGACCTGAGCCGAAGGCAGATGCTTAATGGAGTGAGCCACTCAGGCGCCCCAACTCTTTTCTTATTCATACAAAAAGTAGTCCCTATTCTGTTTTTATGGGTTGCATAGTATTCCATTGTAAGGATGCACCATAAATTATTTAATCAGTTGACTATTGATAAGTGTTTAAGTTGCTTCCAATCTCTTGTTCTTGTAAAAATG